CTCTTCTCTTGTGAAAGCTTGTTCAGTCACATTCTGACGGTCATGGACACTCATTTTGAAGCGAAAATGTAACGCGCGTTGGAGATTAGCCTAGCCTAGCCTGCTACCGCTAACACCTTCTGGACTCGAGCTCTGCGTAACATCTACGTCACCACGCACTTATGTAGTTGTGTCGCACCTTTTTCTGTTCGGGTTGAAACTGAAGCGTCCGCTAGCTCGGGAGCCAGGCAGAAGGAGAAATCCCACACAAAACAGGCTCTAGAGCAATGTGGATATCCTAACTGGGCCTTCCTGAAAGCAGAGAAGAAACCCAAACAGGACTCCAGTCAGCCATCAGGTGAAAAGGAGGAACCCAGACCCAGACCAGTGGTCATTCCGTATGTTGAGGGGGTATCAGAGAAACTGAGACGTTTATTTTCTAAACATAACGTCCCAGTGGCTTTTAAACCCCAAAATACATTACGGCAAAGACTGGTTCATCCCAAAGATCCAGTCCCCCGGCACAAACAGAGTAATGTTGTGTATGCTGTTCAGTGTCAGGAGGGCTGTGATCAGTCTTACATCGGGGAAACTAAACAGCCACTGGCCAAAAGGATGGCCCAGCACAGAAGATCAACATCATCAGGCCAGGACCTTGTGATCTACACTCATCTCCAGGCCAGTGGTCACTCTTTCAAGGATGAAGATGTTCACATCCTGGACAGAGAGGAACGATGGTTTGAGAGAGGAGTAAAGGAGGCCATCTTTGTGAAAAGAAATCGTCCATCATTAAACAGGGGTGGAGGCCTCCGGGTTCAACTGTCCCCCTCTTACAATGCTGTGATTGCTAGTATCACTCAGCCCTCTGTGAACAGTAAACAGCCATCAGTGTGCTAATGATCCATTGTTAGGCTGATGGTCCTTCTTGAGCATGTGATCAGCTGGTTTTGGTTGTCAGCAGCAAAACTGGTTGATCCACCCTGAGAAGGTGCTATTTAAGAGACTGAGCTGAAAACAGCACCTCAGACTGAGGAAGTCTCTCGGATGAGAGACGAAACGTTTCTAGATTTTTTTGCTTTGTTTTGTTTTTTTGAATGTCCAGAGGACCAGATTGAACTTTTTTGGATATAACGAACGTTGCTCCGTTAACAGATTTGCAGGTTATGGCCACCTGATGTCCTTTTGGAGGCAGACAGAACCAGCCACACACGACACTGTGCGTGTGACCAGAGCTCGGACAATTCGATCTGCTGTTTCAACGGTAAGCTTGCGCTCGCTCTTATTTGAATATGTATCCATGTTTTAGTGAAAGTGTGACATTGTCTGGAACCACGCAACATTGTTTCAAAGATCGGACGAAAATATCTAAATCATAGACATTTTTATGTTAAGTCGTTCTTCATCGTAATTCTTATCGAATATAAAATACTATAATGGTTAGGAAAGAGAATAGTTTGTTTTTTTTGCATGGACTTTAAAGAGAATCATCAAATACACAAACTTCTATTTGCTAGATGAATAAAATCTCATTTGTTCCACGGATCATTGCAGGAGTATTAAATCAGATATTATGTTTGGCTGTTGCTGAAAAGACACAGCCAGCTGGTTTCAGGTGTAGACACCTCCATCTGCTGATCCTTCAGAGCATCGTTTCAGGGCATGGAAGGTAGATTAGAAGAAAGGGAGATAAGTTGCCGTCATCAATTATTTTTTAAATCATGTACTCTGTCAAACCTTCAGCCAAAACAAAATCCTAGTTTTAGAATAAATGTATTGTCACACATGAAAGAGAGAAAATGAAATGTTACAAGTGAACTTAGGCCCGTTTCAACAGCAGCAGCTTTGACTCCGGATTTAGTCTCTGGAAAAAAAAAAAAAATTAAACACACGTGTCATTTAATCATTTCGACTCCCAGGACATTAATCAAGAAGCAAAATACATGGTGACATATTTATTTATTTGTTCAACTTTCATTTGTCAAACAATGTAATTTTTCCCCACTAAAATCTCAATTTAAACATCATAGAAGAAATAAAAAATAAAAATACAATTTTAAGATGATCTACAAGATATATACATTAAAAATACACAAATACACACCCACACAGACTGGCTGTATTTACAGCATTTAAAGTCCGAGCATCCGTTTCTGCATACAGCGGGGTTCAGAGGTCTGAGTCCACAACACCACAATCTAACACTGAACTTGTGATTTTATTGAAAAAGTCAACGCAAATCTGAAATACAACTAAAGTATCTGTACTGCTATATCAGTAGCTAATAAATGCATAATGTAATTTGCAGCTTTATGTGATATGATCAGATCTTTTGAAGTAAAAAGGTTAAGAACAATTATTATCTTACCTGTTGTGGATGAACGACTTAGTTGGAAGAAACTGATTCAAAGCACTACCTACAACAGGTAAGATATTAAATGTTCACAACTTTTCCACTGAACCCCTCTTCAAAAGATCTGAACGTTTGCTTTGAGGTGTGAAAATTAACTGAGGTGCTGCAACAACGTCCAAAAGCAGGTTCTCTGTTCTACAGACACAACTTCATGCTTCAAACCATGAAACGTTATCAAACTCTGTAAAAACACCAGAGTTACAAACTGCCTGAACAACCGGAGTGCAGACTTGCATAGCTTTTCTGTGCTCGATTAAAAAAAAAAAAAAAACAATAAGCACCTCAGAACAATATCCCTGCAGCGCTTTCAAAAGACCAAATTTATGATTTAAATCTTCTAAAGCTGCTTCAAAAACAAGACTCAGGCCTCTAAATCCCACTGTACACCTGTGCATTCATGTATTTGTGTACAACTGATGTATATATTGCATCATCCACTAAATGCAAACAAAGCGCTTTTGAAGACAAAATCCCGTTTTTCAATTCTTCTGGTCCTCTTGGAAAAAAGTCATAAAATCAAGACTCCGCCCCCGAATCAGGATGTAAAAATCAACATGAAGGAACAATATGAGGCTTTCAAGCGCTTTCTAACAACTTGCAAACACGGGTATTAATTAAAAAATAAACAGAACAAAGACAGGATCACTCAAGAACATATAAGTCAGAAAAACAGAAATATTGAACTTCTTATAGCACAGCTATTTTTTTTTTTTTTAAGAAACACTAATAAGCACAGACGAATGGGGCCGACCAAAGGACTGCACTGACTTATGCTACGTTAATGGTAACTATGGCAACAAACAAGTGGAGCGATGGACAGTATCGAGTGTACAGTTTATATTTTACAGCTGGTGTTGATCAGAGGAGTTCGGACAGGAGTGACAGTGAAAACAAGCTGATGTGTAAAAGCTGATCTTATTTACAGGAGAAGCTCCGTATCTCCACCATGAGCTCAGACTGTCTGCTGCTGAACAAGATCCCATATCCAACTTCATCCTCATCTGCACGCCGTGAGTGCACGTTTCCAAAAGAGACTCCACTCACCCGGCTGAACTCGGAACAAATCTTATGAGAGCAACTTGAAGTTGACTCAATGTGGGGAGAGGGGAACAAAATGCTGCTTTCTGCGCTTGAAAGCAGCATTTTAAAGTTTCTGCAGCTACAGCAAACTGAAAAAGTAAAAGCTTGTCACCGTTTGGGGCTATCGGGTTTGAAAACAGTCTAATGAGCGGTTTAACTTTAGAGCGTGAAGTTAGGAAAACTGTTTCCCAGGCAGTTTGATGGTTCAACTTTACGATACAAGCCAATGATGCTCAGCGTTTCAAAGTAGTTCTGGTGCTTTAGGCGTCGGGATGAGATGAAAATGATCTGCTCTTTACCGGGTTCTAAACTTATTCAACTTAAAGGTGTTTTAAAAACACAACACACTCCACCACGTTGTTACTTAAAACATTCTTTAAAAAGCCGATTATAAATGTCAGCAAACCTCAATGACCTGACACACAGTCATAAAGAATAGTGGGCCAAAATTCCTCCACAACCATGTGAGAAACAGGAAACGTCAACTGCAGGTTATTTGCTGCCAGTTCTGTAAAGTACTGGCTCATGGGATACTCACACAGCTTTTCCATTTGGACTTTAGTTTTAACATTTATTCAACTTTATGGGATGTGCTGTGTTTGACTTCTGAATCATTTTTAAGCCTAAAACTCAAATTAGAACTAAAACACTGCGACTCCATGCACAATTAGTTGCATTTTGCAGTAACACAAGTGAACACGTGACTCCTTATCGCTCGTCCTTTTGTTCTTATTTGTGTTTTTATTGTTTCTCTCAACCCTAAGCTCTGGACTTTTTAATCCGTGACTGAACAATTATGGATTTTTCAACTCTGGCACAAACGATTCAGATCTAAACTACTAAAACGATGATGTCCAAGTTTTATTAATTCAATGTCTATAAACTACAGAAATGATTTTGATGTTTAATTTTGTTTGCTCTTTTATACAAGATCATTCAAGATAGTTAGGCATTTTTATTATGTAGCACAACCAGTCTTATAAGAACGACGCGCCACAGAACAGGAAGTGGAGCCGAGTTGAGATCGATTCATGTGAAAACCTGCAAATATCAGCTCCTGTTTTTATCTTAGTCATTTCATTTCATATAAATTTTCACCGTAACGGGAGGTAATTACTGAAGATAGTCAAGAGCCACTGATGCATACAGATGTGATGGAGACCCGTTTTCATTTTTAAATATATTTTTTATATTGGTTATTTGTAAAGTTTGATGCTTGGTCATGTGTGCATAGAGTAACATTCATGACTGTCTTTTTGACTTGTGGACATGCACTATGCTCAGTTTACAATCCTTGGATTAAAACAAAAAAAACATGTTTTTTTTAATGAAACTCAAAATTAGGACTAATTTTTGTCGGATCTTGCAAAACTGAACAGCTAGTTATGTCCCAAAATTAAGTTTTATATGAAAAATGCAGGAAACTATGGAAGAGGACAAGAGTGAAGATGTATTTATTTTAAAAAGATTACAGCCATAATTCTGAGAAAGAAAAAAGTCAGAATTCTGAATACATGTATTTTCTTTTCACTGTGGCCCTCATCCTCTTCCATAGAAACCAGACAAACATATTTATTTAAATATTGATTAAGAGTCACGCCTAAAGAACAACGCTCCAACATTAAAAAGATTAGCTCGACAAAGACCCCGTCAGCGTCTGAGTTCACAACTTCACAGACATATCCGAAGAAACAGCAGACAGCCACACCAGTAAGTCCTGAAGACTCTTGAATATCTTCACTAATTGCTCCCAGTTTGGGTCAAACTTTTTATAAATGATAACTGGCATGTATTCCAATAGACTGACAAGCTAACTTTAATTCTGAGCAAGACCAAAGTGAATTTCTACCATTGTAGAACGATTTAAGTCGCCTAAATTTTGAAGTGATTCATGCAGTTGTTGTTGTTGTTTTAAAAACCTTTAAATTGGCAGGAAACTTTGAAACTGATGGCAGACACGCCTGAGCTCCGGCAGCAAAATAAAAACAAACTGCAGCCTGATACGAACAGAACTCTTTGGTCCGGTTTGCATTTGCGATGCTCACAAATGCTCCTTTTTAAATTTAAACATTCACAACACTGGAAACACTAAAATAGAACCTGGAGTTTAAAGAAAAGTTGAGCGAGACGAACGGTTTTGTCAACAAAAGACAAACTAATGGTTTACAAACTGTTGCGATGAAGCCGTGCAACTGTTTGACATGAAGATTATTGATGTCAAAAATTAACTTTGTATGTAGTGTTTACAGCCAGTGGAGTTCTCCCCAGCTCTGTCCTGAGACCTCTCGTATTGCGAGCGCTGCCCTTGACATTTCCTGTCCCTTTTCTATCCCTCTCTCTGCAGCCTTCAACCAAGTTCCATCAGAAGACACATTTCTGGCCACTGACTTTTCATTCTTTGATTGTTCTTCTCCTTTATGACATGTACAGCCCTTTAATCGGCCCCTGCTTTCTACTTGTCTTCCCCCACATATTTCATTGAGTAAAGAAGCCTGTGCTGATCTGCACCTCTTCCTTGCACTCCATTGCTTCTTCTCTTTTACCGTTTCCGTACCCCAACGGGAGGCACGTGTTGTTTCTGTTTCCCTCTGTCGCCTCAAAGCTCTTCTCCTCCATCGGCTTGCTGATCCAGGCTCCGTAGCCGTGGTCGCTGAGAGACTTAAAGAACTGCTGCTTGGCGAATTGGAAGGGCATGGCCGACATCTTGGCCTGGGCGTAGGAGGACAGGCAGAGGAGGTCGGAGCGGCCACACCTCTGGCACAGAGCGCGGAACAAACAGAAGAGGTTGGACTTGGTCACCCGAGACATGGCCTGTTTGTTCCTGGAGGGAAAACATTTAGATGTTTATTAGTTAAGTTTATAAAAAATGAAAGAACACAATATGTGACAGCTGAGGTGACACAAGCATGCTACTTGTAACCATACAGATGTTGCTATTTAGTTTGTAATATAACGTGCTGCACACCACTCTGGTTGATTTAAATGAAATATGGTTGGTTGTTTGCTGATAGTCTACTACGTACCCATCCAGTTTTCCTTTCGTCCCGTCCAGTACCTCCACATTGTGCTGGTCCTGAAGGCACCAGTTCACACTGGACTCCTTGGTCTTGCCTGTGTGGCGCGTGGAGTCGTACACGCTCACTCTGCCCACCTACAGTTCAGACAAAAAGAAATGACATTTGGTTCAACTGAATTCAGAAAGTCCCAAATAATTGAGTAATAACATCAGTGATACACAACACAATGTGCCAATTACTTTTAGTCCCTTTCACTGATGGGTAAATAAAAGTCAAAGCTAAATTTAAAAACAAGCTAATATAAGAAATGAGATGGATTGAAACCACTAGCTACTACATTTCTGCCATTTTTCCTGGCAGTGAAACAAACACCGTTCCACTCATTGTTAACTGATGGATGAGTTCAATTTACATTAGAGGAACAATGAAAAACAGCCGTGTAGGCACAAACGGGAACGTTGGCAGCTTAATTATTTAATTTAATGAGATTGACCTCGATGTTTGTGATTTATGTTCGTGTCTGACTTTGTTAAAGACTTGTTTTGTTACCTCGGGGTGGTTCAGTTTGAAGGAGGGTGGGAGACTGCTGGAAAAGGCTTCACTGTCTCTGGCCAGCCGGCAGCAGACAGCACGTGTCAGGTGACCGTGGCTGTAAAGATAGCCTGGCAGAGAAATGCAGCAAATACAGGTCAGAAAAGAAAAATCTGAGTCGTAAAGCGATGTCAGCATGGGAGTAATCTCGTTTAATTGACACTAGCTGACTGTGATCAGGATGATTTACCAAGAGTGATGGACTTCAGGTAGATGGGATGCAAGAAATGGGAGAGCAGCGCCCCCTGCAGGCCCAGCACGTTCCAGCGCAGAATCTTATCGCTGCAGCTCATGGTGCGCAGCCTTTCGCCATGCTGGATGCCGTCCCAGGTGGGAACAATGGCACTTGACTCCACTGGGATGGTCCCCTCACCTGAAAGCAGCAGCGACACACACACAGTGACAGAGCTTACATCTCCTGCAGACAGACCAGGGCTGGACTTGCTTCTTTACAAACATCCCTGCAGACTCAGTGGAAATCTCACCATTCTCCACTTTAGTACGAAGCTTGCCCTGCTTTACATTCTCAAACAGAGGCTGGTGGCCCTGAACTTCATCTCCCGTCTCACTGCATGACTTATCGAACAGAGCGCCATCCCCGCAAGGTGCCGTGCTACAGATAACAAAATGAACAAAAAAATAAGGTAATGACGCAAACTAAAAATAACATCTGGTCAGCTTTGCACAAGAAACACCACTGTATCCCAGAAGGTCTTTTGAGGAGGGCGAGCTTAGAGAAAGAGCACGTCTAATCCTCCACCTGATGTAGAGGTGGAAGGTAATGTCAGGTTTGATCTCGAGTTTGCCGTCTTCCGCCGGCTCGAATATGCTGTCGTCTGCTCCATCATAGTGCCTGAGCAGCTCGCCGTACAGAAACCTGAGAGCAAAGGAGACAGTGAGTTGCACTTAAAATAAAATCGTGCAGACTGCTTCTTGGAGAGGAGGAGGTATTTTTAGAAATGAAGGAGAAACGTCGATAAGGGAGCACGATATCATGTTCTACCGAATAAAACCCCTTCTGGAGATGATTTCAGCATGGCAATCATTGACCGTCTCCCCTTTAAGGCTCAGCTCCTCCCCTTTGACACAACGATTTCCTGACAGAAAAAAATAAATAAAAAAGCAGATGTGTTCAATGTCAAACACTGTGACGACTCATCGCCTCCCAGTTCTGTGGTGACCTCATTCTGTTACTGTTAAAACTAAACATGGAAAAATGCAGTGATGGCACATTTTCCTCTGATGTTTCACTATTTGCTTAACCACTTCACAGGCCATGGATTTACCTGTTCCAAGGCTGACGACAGTCCCCAGGCCCTCCCCCTTCCTCATGACAATGGTGGCCAGAATCTTGCGCCCGAGAAGGCTGTGCTGGATCCGTGTGGTCAGGGCGTTGAAACGCTGGTGGCTCAACATCGCTATCTGGTCGTGCAGAGTGCTGCCGCTCACCGGTAGCTGGAGAGGAGGATTTCAGAGACAATGTTTTATTAATTTCAGATTTAATTCTGCACATATTAGAAATGCTTCATGTACTGAAGATATAGATACCTAGCTTTGGCACATCCTGAATCAGGACAAGTGCTTTTAAAAAAATCTTTTAATCAGCTGAGCACTTCTCCACTCCTCGTGTAAAAATTTGTCAAGCTTGGTTTATTTGTAATACAGGTTATTAAATGTAGACAAAAATAGGTCACATTTTTACAGACATGATCCTGAAGGCCAGTGATTCCCAAACTTTTCAACTTCTGACCAACAAAATGCACCTGCTTTAGGCTTTCAAACCCCAAAATACATTACGGCAAAGACTGGTTCATCCCAAAGATCCAGTCCCCGGCACAAACAGAGTAATGTTGTGTATGCTGTTCGGTGTCAGGAGGGTGATCAGTCTTACATCGGGGAAACTAAACAGCCACTGGCCAAAAAGATGGCCCAGCACAGATTAACAACATCAGGCCAGGACTCTGCGGTCTACACTCATCTCCAAGCCAGCGGTCACTCTTTCAGGGATGTAGATGTTCACATACTTGATAGAGGAACAATGGTTTGAGAGAGGAATGAAGGAGGCCATCTTTGTGAAATAACCCGTCCATTATTAAACAGGCATGGAGACCTCCGTGTTCAACTGTCACCTTCTTACAATGCTGTTATTGCTAGTATCACTCAGCCCTCTGTGAATAGCAAGCAGCCATCACGGTTGTTAGGCTGGTGGTCCTCCTTTATCATGTGAACAGCTGATTTTAGCTGTCACCAACAAACAGGCTGATCTACTATGAGAAGGGGCTGTTTAAAAGACATTTATATTTATTATATATTTATTTAGTTAATTGCTATTTATAAGATATTTATATATTTATAACTTATATTTATAAGTTTAGTGAATGACAATAAAGATACTTGGACTTGATTTATCACAGGTTTCTCTTGAAAATGAGCTCCCCTGTTTCAATAAAATTGCCTGAATAAAAAAGTAAATAAAATAACATCAGTGGAGACTTGTGACCTCAACTATCGCTGGGTAAAGTGAACAAACATTGCTAAGGAGTCAGAAAACAATCATACAATAACAGCACAGACTGCAGTACTTTTTTAATCAATTTATGACTCTAACAGTTATGGTAGAAATGTGCCAAAACTGGCTAATACTAACTTTTAATTTTTGGGGGATTTTTGTGTTTGACGACCCACAATGAGGTCCCAACCTCAACTTTAGCGACCACTGACAGACGGCTAATATTACTTTACATTTAATATGTTAATATGTGAACGCATCACTTTCTGTTATGACTTTACGTTATAAGCTTGCAAGGCCTGCATCAAGAAAGATGTTTTTTTTCTACTTTACTTTAAAACAGGAACTCCAATCATGTTGCAAGGTTATGTAGTCTAAATGTGTAGATACATTTTAAGTTTTCATTCAACCTTTACTTATACAGGTTAGTCTCAATGAGTCACGAGGACTCATTTTCCAGTGAGGCCTGTAAAGTGTACTGTATTTGTGGATACTTCCATTGTTTTTGTTTTAAGGACAACAAAGAGAACAGTTAAGTTGATTATTCTACAGTCAGTTACGATGGATTACCCAACAGGTTTTTGCATAAAATGTTTCTGCAATATGGCTGTGAAGACGAGAGCCTCCAGCTGCTGTTGGACGTTCATAAATCACCAACAGGTCATGCCACGTGATGATGTGACCTATTAGAAATTAAGCAAACACTGTGGCACCAAAATAGGTGTGGAGCTAAGTGGCATTTGCATAAATTGTGTAGCTAACATTCCCCATTTAGAATTTAGCTTACACTTTAACATACCAACCATTTCGACTGTGGCTGCTTCGTTTAGTGGTTCAGAGATTTAATTGGTGGCACGTGGATATACCACACTGATGTCGACTTTTTTACACACACACCAAAATAAAAACAAGAAAAAAAAAAACACGCCAAGATAGCCAGAAGGCATCGTAGTTACAGCTTTAATGTGTTTTGTGAGACGGACATAATCGTGAACTTTCACCACAAGCACTTTAGTCAACAACAAACCTGTTGCTTTGCTACATTTTTTTTCCGTTTATGCAACTCTCTAAATTCAATACTGATGGAAAAATATATATATATCTGTTGTGATTATCTTTTTTAGATAAGAGATAATTGAACAATTAAATACCTCGTTTGGGATAAGCTCTCCAGTTCGTGCTGCTATCTCAGCTTCTCCGATCAAAACCCTTAAAGCGGCATCGGCTGCTTCCTGCTTTCCCTGTTTCTTGTTGGAGGCACAAACTGGAGGAAACCAGCGACCGCCCAGCTTCGCCTGGTAAGTGAACCTAAACAAAAGAAGAGAAGGAAATCAGAAGAATTGTTTTCATTCTTACTTTACAAACCAAGTGAAAAACCAACTCACCCACTGAAACACACTGAACATACACACAAAAATGTCCTTCAGCACAGTGTGTGTTAGATTGAACACAAAACTTTTAAAAAGGGAGCAAAAATAAAACAACTATATTCATACAATGAAATCAAGCAAACTAAACAGTATAACATTTAGTTCCACTTGGGGTGTGCACATTAATTTAGCATTTCTGCAGCTCATACTTACTTCGGCTCATGTGGTGGCCCAGACTGGCTCACCAGGCGGATCTCTGCAGCAAAGCCCCGAGCTCTAGCATACTCAAGGAGGCCGGACACTGCGTTGTTGTTCAGGTGATTGATGAGGTCCCCGACTCCTGCTTCATGGGCTGCTCGCAACTCATTTTCAGTCAAAGGAGGCAGAGAGGGACAGGGTGTCTTAGAAGCACTCCCGTCATCATCAAAGGAAGGAATGAGGGGCAGCTGAGGCTGGAAAACAAATTAGATAAGTGATTAGATAATGTGTAGGAGATGGAAATGATTACGCAAGCAGGTCAGAGTATCAATATGCTTCTGTTCAGTCTGGGTTATTTGATGAATCTTTCCCCTCTTGTAAGAGCCTCACAAGCTGTTTCCTCCTAAAAGAAAAAATATGACGTTCTCTGTTAGCAGCAGGCTCAGTAGTAAAGTCTTTGCCTGGTTGTACCAAATCTGATGGTCCGTTTGGATGGATGACTGCACAGAACATTGCAGAGTGCTTTATAAGTATATCATTACTGTTAAAGGAGCTAAGTTTAGAGCTATTCAACTAAACTGCTCAGGGGGCCACAGTGTCTGAAAGCCAACAGCTCGGGGGTGAGTAAAATCATTATGTAAATAAATTAGGGCTGGACGGTATAGACAAAACTTTTGTTACAATATATTTCTTAATTTTGGTCGATAACAATATAATTCGATATTGATATAAACAATATAACAGCTTCAGAAAAACTGTACAAATAAATTAACGTTCACCCTTTATTTGTATTTAGCCTTCAAAAATATTTGAAATCACTGTCAAATTAACATAAAACTCTCAACTTTGTCAATATTAATAGTTTTAACTTTAAACAACAACATAACCTAACAACCCATGTGTTTGCTGCAGGGGGTTTCTCTTTTGATACAGCTGGGGTGTTGTTCCAGGGACACGTTGGCTCAGACTTTTATTGTGCTTCATCTTCTGACTCTCAGCATATTCCATCTACTGGAACAAGTTAGATGTTCTCACCGCTAGTTGGAACGACTCTCCGTCACATTTTGCAGCACACTGACCGAAACCTGCAGTTTATCAGATCTTAGAAAGCCGAACCACTTCCACACCGCTGAATTAGTCTTTCCTCTCTCATCAATTATGTCATCTGTTTTCTCTTCTCTTTTGAAAGCTTGTTCAGTCACATTCTGACGGTCATGGACACTCATTTTGAAGCGAAAACTTACCGCGCGTTGGAGATTAGCCTAGCCTAGCCTGCTACTGCCTTCTGGACTCAAGCTCTGCGTAACATCTACGTCACCACGCACTTATGTAGTTGTGTCGCACCTTTTTCTGTTTGGGTTGAAGCGTCCACTTCAACCCGAGCAGAAAATCCAGCATCTAGAATCAGCATCAATCCAGCATCAATGTGTGGCATGGAGGCTGCACAGCTGCAGAAAGAAAAGCTTTGCAGAGAGTGGTGAAGGCTGCACAGAAGATGTTGGAGTCAGTCTCCCCACCATCACAGACATCTACACCTCCAGATGCAGGAAGAGGGCCACCTGCATCATGAAGGACCCCACTCACCCAGCACACACTTTTTGCCCTGCTCCCCTCAGGAAGGAGGTTGAGGAGCATTAAGTGTAGAACCACTAGACTGAGGAACAGCTTCTATCGTGAGGCTGTTAGACTCATGAATCTCTAACCAGAATAATCACTGTGAAAAAAAATCACATGTTGCTGCTGATCTGTTTCATGTTGCTGCTGATCTGTTTCATGTTGCTGCTGATCTGTTTCAATGTTGGTGTGTTCATGCGTGCTCATCTGCTTACACGGACTAGTGTTCAGGTTTGTGCTGATGTTTGACGTGATGTTTTTTAGGCTATGAGTGCTTAGTGTATATTTAGTTCATGTTTTTCTTAGTTAATATCTTGGATGTTATTGTTTTTCTTTTACATTTTATTGTTGGATGTAACTGGGACACTGCGTACATAATTTCGTTCCACCACATGAGGTGCGAATGACAATAAAGAATCTCTGACTCTGAAAAAGAAATGAATCAGTGAAACTCTGTAATCATATTGAAATATCGAAAACGTGCTTAAAACTCATATCATCGTTATTGAATAAAAATATATTGCGACATATATCTGTATCGAATTACTGTCCAGCCCTAATTCCACCCATTGACTTTATTTAGTCGGCCTGGCTACCATAATTTAACTACATGGATTACACAGTAATTTATATATTTTTTAAATAATGGGCTATATGTGTCAGTGAAACGCTGTAATCATATAGCAATATCGAAAATGTGCTTAAAACTCATATCACAGTTATTGAATAAAAGTATAGTGTGATATATATCAATATCGATTTTTTATTCAGCCCAAAAATAAACCCAAGTTTACAATGATCTGTTACCTTTTAAATTTGTTTATTTTATTGCATTGAATCATATATCCAATAAACAGAATCCAAAACCCAAACCCAGAACCACCCCGCAAAAAAAAAGATTTTTTTTTTTTTTTTTTAAATGAAGTGGGCCAGTTTGAAATCACCTGCGGGCTGGAAATGGCCCTCGGGCCGCCAGTTGAATAGCCCTGGTTTAGACCTTTATCATTCAGTTTTTCACTTGTTACCTTGTTGAGCTGCAGTTTTCCATCAGCCATGAGTTCTTTGACTGCTTCCTCTGCTGCCAGCTGACGGGCCGCCTTCTTGCTCGGAGCCGAGGCCTCTGAAAACAAATTCTCTCCAACCTTCACCCTGAACATGAACCTGAGCACAGGACGGCGGAGGTAAAAACTGTTATAAGAGAGAAGGACATAGTTATTTTGGTCTGTAACTGAGATCGTTCACTAGCACACTTGACGACTTTGATAGAGGAGCCAATAAGTCAGGATCACAGGAACACCACAGCTTTTGATGCGCCATCAGTCAAGTTAGACGAACGTAACTTTTAGAGAAACCAATGAGAAAAACTAAACTAAACTGTGTTGTACCACACAGTGGAGCAACTGCCTTAAGGGACTGATTAAACAAAGACAGAATGGATAAACAGAGATTTTATTGTTTTTGTCAGATGACTACTGCAGAGGACAGATTTAACAGAAATAGCTGCTTCCTTGAGGCAGAAACATGCAACAACATAGGAAGTTGATGTCAGCACATGCAATGTGGAAGAAAGCAACATTCTAACAATTTAAAGAGAGCTGAAGGAGCCAGTACCTTGGATCATGTGGTGGACCAGCCTGCCCAGTGTTGAGAAATTCAATGGGATTCCCACTGCGCTGACTGTACTCCATCAGGACAGAGACCGGATTCTTCCCACCAGGCAGAGACCGGGACAGAGGCTGGCGAGGGCCCTCTACTGTCCCTTCGATACTATTGGATCCTGTGTTTTCAACTGAGCCCTAGAGAAGAAGAAACAAAACACCCATTACATTTAGAGTGACAGCTTTTCTTTAAGATGTTATTTAAAGTACTTGAACAACTTCAGGTTGAAAAGGTGAACTCCATTTTAAGCTGCCTCAAACCAGCTTCAGTCAACCGTTTAACCCAAAATGTGCCTAAATCTAGGAGCATATGATTTTCACGAGGAAAAGGCAAATGAAATCGCAGAACTTGTCATTAAATATGTAATTACTGTAATTTCTGGACTATTGAGTGCACTATACAAAAGCCGCGCCCGCTAAATTTAAAAAGAAAGTTAAAATTTTTACATAAATAGGCCGGACTCGTCTATAAGTCGTGGGTGTTCACATTGTAACATGAGATATTTACACACAAAGATTTCTTTTTACGTTTAATTAAATACGTACTGGTAACACGCACAAATACAGTAAATGTTTTTTTTTTCTGAAC